ACGTGCAGCATGGCTCGACGTTTGTTCGAGGGTGCAACAAGTCGGGTTAACAGCTGTTTCTCTAGCCGCGTGCAGTTATATACCCGGTCCTCTGCCCCCCTTCAGTCATGGTATATACCTACTCCCGATTTGGCGGACGTCCAACCACGGTTTACGATGCCTCGCCCGAGCTGCTCGCCCATTGTGCCACCCGTGAATGACGGAAACTACCTGGCCGGGGTCGTATCAGAGGCATAACACGAGAATCATCGTTGGGATCGGTGTCAAGTGAGCCTAGAACACCAGAAAAGTCTAGAAGTCTGGGCAACTAGGTGCTGCAAAATGCTTTAAATTTATCCTGGGGTCGACAGGCTCGGTGAATTTACAATTATTCGAATAGTTTCGGTGACTTTTCGCGACATTTGAAAGACAGAGTGTGTGTTCAGTGATTTCAGTACAGGAAATCTTCGATGAGTGTTCGAAGGCTACTCGGTACAGAATATTAAATATTTCATAAACTAATGGCCATATGCGGCTGAAACAAATATCATTGGCTTCAGAGTTCCAAGTTTTATCACTGTACTGAATCTCCTTAAAAAGTTAGTGTTACACTTGGGGACCTTTCCTTGTCAGCGCAGAGGGGCCTTCGAACACTCATCGAGGATTTATTGTAGAATGAACAGTCGAGATTTGTGTAGTTGTAGACTTTTTCTAGGAACGGTTTACAGCGAATCGATGCGAAATATTCATGGAAGTTAATGCCGTAACGCAAATACCCCTGTCGTATCTTGATCCCGTGACCCGTAAGCACACGCGATCGGATGCTCATTGCGTTTGTAACGATTCAGACGGGGGATCGGATTGTAAAGGAAGGCGCGCGATCGATGAATGGCTCCGAGAAGGTCCAGTTACGATAGCAAAAACTGAATACACATACATTGGCCGCAAGTTCTATCGGAAAACCATGCCCAGTTTCGACGCGTGCATAGGCGAGGACTCGCGAAAGAACACAAGGACACGGGTGCCGCACTGGGAAAATCATTGGACCGTGTGTAATTAAGATGATTGGTACGGCGGAGTCAAAATACCCGATCGACGAGACCAAATCTCGTGAAAGAACGCTCGGATATCAAGTAGAAACGTAATTGATCCTTCGTTGGGCTGAAGAACCCTCGTTACACTAGAACCGTCTGATGGAACGGGGTATCGTTAAATTAGAATTTTCCGCCCTTAATCCCCACTAATTTTTTCGTCCCGAATTTACCACTCAAACTCTCCGCTAAACATGAAATCGACGTTCTTCTTTTAAAAATTCTAGTCTTACGATACCCCCAAAGAAACAGAATCTGAGATAACGTCCACTAAAGGGATTCTTCAAGAATGTTTCCATTCTCCAACAATGATTGTTCGTTGCACCACAAGATACGAGTACTTAAAGAATTCTATAGAACAGAGGATCACTCACCTCAGGGACGTACGCAGAGCTTCGCAAGGTGAAAAGCTAGGAAGCAGGGTCTGGGACATGCACACCGTTCCTGGCTCCTCGAAAGATCTTCGTTCCGTACGCAGTTCTGCTATTCCCGGTACCGTAGAGCTTTCCCCACAACCGACTCACTTCTTCGTACACCACCGAGAGAGTGTTCGAGGAGACCGCGCACCGGAGCAGCCGAGTTGCCCGCGATCAAGGGTGATTTTTTCGGCACTTTATCCGAGACGAGGGCTCGTCGACTCGATCCACACCAGGAGGCCCTTCGTTCCCGCGAATCGCACACGGTCGCTCATTGATCCCGAGACATCAGGGCCACGCGATTATACGCACACGAGGCTGACCGGGACGTACGCGATCACCGAGGGAGCGGAGAAGCGGACGCCGGTGCGAAACGCTGACTGAACCAGTGGTGAGACCACCGAGGGGTGGTCCGTATCACGGAGAGGTCCCTCTATTCTCTCTCTCGCTCAACCCCCTCTCCCCTTACTCCCCCCTCTCCTTTCCAAACCTTTCCACGGCGGTGGTTCTGTTTCATTCGTGTTCACCCCTTTCACCTGGTCCACCTCGTTTCTATCCATTGCGTCCCTTCTTCCTTTCCTCGTCCCTCTGTTATCCGTCATGTCCATTTCCGTTCCACTCAGGTTTCTTCTGCCTTTGCTGATTCTATATTGGGGGGGGGGGGGGGTGGTAGTACGTTACATCTCGTTCTCCTTGTCCTTGGTTCAGTTTCCGTCTCGCTTTAGCCTCCCTCCTTCCTGTTGCTCCATTCCCCATCCCTTTTAAGTAGTCTTCTCTGTTGCACTCCCCTGCCTCCCTTGATCGCCACCTCCTCTCCACGATCACCCACCACCCCCTCCGTGCTTTCATCCACGCCACGGCGTTGGCATAACGGCGTGTACACGTTACAGAAGGAAACGCAGACCGCCGTGATCCTACGATTCTGCGCACTACCCCCATCAGGTGCATCCCTCCAGCTCGTGTAGGATTTAAGCTGCCCCCACACTGGCTCCTTGCATATTTGACGGGGGGAAAATGCACGGCCGTTCCGCGGGGTTGCGTTTGATTTGGGTAAATGAATCTTCTACGTGGGCAGCTGGCTTCAGGGCTGAGGAGACCTGGACGCCTGAGAGGATCTGAAATGGAAATATACTGGTATGGACTTAGTGACACTTCAAGGTGGATGATATGTCTGTGCGGGTGTTATTATATTCGTCTGAAGATTACATGGAATTTTTTAAAAATATTCACTGTGTCATTGAACTTGAAAAGGATATTGATATTTGGGTCCAAGTTTAGGATTCATGTGTTTTTGGATTATTTTGTACCGTCTTAATGGGACGAGTGCAGCGGTTTAAAATTGAATCTTAATGGGTGGATAGAGAAAATCTAATTCATTAAAAGGCAAGAAAGTATTCTGTAGAAAAGCATATCCAGTAACATTAATAGGTATATCATGTACATACTTAGAAGGGCAACCAGAAGTGTCTGTAACTAATAATCCTAGACCTTTTCCTGCAAACACGATCGTATCACCTTTTCCGTATTATATTGCTAGGCCCTTTTGCACTCTCGTGTTCGTTATTGCGGTTACAAAACTTCGAAAATTTCAAGACGTAGCAGAGTGTCGGCGTTGATGGTTGCCTCGGGTTAGAGTAAAACTTTCACGACGCCTTCAAACATTTTGTGGGCTCGTAAAGAGTAAGACGCGTTCTACTTGCATCACTGGTGCAGTTTCCAGAAACGTGACGTTACTACCTGGTACAATGTTCGGTAGTGATTTTTCTCTCGCGAGGGCATCTCTATCTTTCGAATGGGACATGGAGATCTGTGGTGCATTTAAGAAATGACTTCATTTGAAGATTCAATCTCGAAAGAGGAATTATTTATCGTGTTTGGTGTAGTGACGTGAACTCTACAGTAGGAACATGAATACGAAAATCTCATTTGTCCTAAAAATTCCTCGATAATTCGTATTCTTGGTAAACCATGGTAGTTTTAAGGACAAAGGTTAGAACCTGCGTCTGCCTACGGTTTTGTACCTCCGGACCAACTCAGACAATCAAACTTCTCTTCCACGTTGCTGGCATAGATAACGGAAACGATGCATTTTTTGATCGCCTCCTGCACCACTCGTGCACGGTTAATGAAGCAAATGCTACGAATATTTCGCATTCGTATCGGAATATTCCTTTCGGAACGGGCAACGTTCATTGTTCGTGTGATCACTTTCAATAAATACACAGAGTCCAGAGCAGTTTGCACGGTATCGGACCACATGCCACCGGAAACGGCTAATATTCGCTCGGTAAATGTCATCCGGCTCGAGTAACATTCCACGTTTCAACAGGACCTGCCTACCGTTTTGGATTGAAATGAACACCAGTCTGATGTGCACTTTCCAACACGCGTACGTGACAGTAACGGGGTGTCTTTGCGATGCGCTTTGGTGTATTAGGGCTACAAAAGCTGACCTTCCACGAACCCCTTTAGCATATTGATTAGTGGCGACATTTTCGTGCACAGGGGCATCGTAATTGTCACGTTATTGGTATACAGAGAGAGGCTTCAGAAACAGCCGCCCATTACGTGACACTAACATAATTTCCTATATGTCGGTATAAATAAATGGGGTAAATAAGATGATGTAACTTTGAAAATGTTTGTTCTTTAATAAGTTAAATTCTTAAAAACTTTTAGGACTTTTATTTGTGACTGCAATGCATTTTCTTAAGGTTATTTTGTTGACTACTGCATATGCAAGTCTACTATGAACACAAACATTCGCAATTCAGTAAGAATTTCACCATTATGTAGATACCATTGATAAAACGGAATCTTTAATATTAGCAATTTTCCAACGTTAATTTAGTTACATAAATCAATTAAATTTTTAAGTTATCATTAATGTTTACTTACACATTTTAAGAGGAATACTGTTTGTGTTTCGGTAATAGTTGTTTGCTTTACTCCTGTGGTCTATTTCCGAATTTCATTACGTTACTTCCGGTACTACTTGAGTAAATTATCGATCACGTGACTCCGAATGCAAGTTCGAATATCACAAGAGTCAAGTCGACACGCGAATCTATTCCAATTTCTTCACCTTATAAGGTAAAATTTTACATTTCATTTACTATGTTGAGTTCCAAAGTTAAATTTTAATATCCGTTCGATTCTGTAATTAAAACTCAAAAGTTTGCATTGTGTCATTGTTCATATTCACCGCTGTGTATGTTGCCGATTTTCGACAATAGTTGTCAATACGAAAATATTATTTTGTGTAACAGAAACATACACAGATGTTCTTTTTTATAATATTGTTCTCATGGTGAAATTGGTAAGATGCTATTACATACCTTTATTCAAAGTGTTTCATTGTTTTTAAGATTACAGAATATTCGGATCTTTGCTAATGTTATTACAAAGCTATGTAAAGAAATTTTACAAGTCATTGATAAAAATAATTTTCAATGAATTGATACATTACAACTTTTTTGTTTTCATTGAGAAATCAAAAGATATAACTATAAAATCATATAACATACATGAAACTTTTATTGATATTTTTATATTGGTTAACATTGGTACATAAAAGTTCCGTGACTATAATAGCTTAGTTTTAATACACACATAATCAAAATGTTAATAACCTCTTCTCTTCGACAATAAGAACTAACCTCGTTAGTCCATACCGTGTTGACCAGTTATCGGTCGTTCCAGTACTATAGAGTCACTCCTATTAATGCGAGGGACTCTAGGATCATCAGGTCTATAAACTGAAATTTTGCTAACATTAGAAAACATAACCTCTTCCTTTGTCAATCAACGACACTGCAGTAATAACGTAATCATTATGAACTCACAGTTGCATAACAATGTATCCTAACCTAGAAAAGAAAACAGATTCAGTTACTTACTGGTATTGTCACGGAAATATCTGGGCGGTATAGTAAAATCCCTGGTCCATATTGTATAATATGCTATTGCAGCGGATAGGAAAACCGCAGGTGTAAGTGCCACTAGTTCTGGCATCTCTTTCCATGCTTGAAGCATGAACGACCTTATCTTGAATCCTATAACATTATAAACCTTGTAATCACATGTTTTGTTTACTGTGTTTAGCTTCTTATAACGTACCCAAAGTTTGACCATAAAGTTTCCTAAACTTCGGTTTAAGTGGGATTTCCGATAGAATCCTCATTTCAACAACTTTATATTACGCGTTAGCAGACGTTACTAACCTGTACTCTACCGAAATGTACAGCAGACTAGCAGACCCAGCAGACGCATAAATTGGTATATCGAGCTAGTGAGGCGGGTTATTCAAATTGTATCGCGTTAACAATTGCACATACGATTATTAAATCTATTCAGTCGTTCATTCTTCTACGTAATATAAGAATATAGTTCATCTTAATTTCAGCTACTATAGCATGCGATTAAAATTTTGTTGAATTAATAGGAATGTTTTGGGAAGTCTCAACAATTGAAATGTTTTGTTTCCACCTGTGTCATTTTTAGAGCGATATGTTATTCTTCCTTAAGTCAACTACTGCACAGTAATTATACGATATAACAAACAGTAATTAAGTATTATAGTAATAAGTATTAAAAACATTAAAATTTAACATTTCATGTTCTGTTTAAAGAACAGTTTTGTCAAGTACTAATTCTAACGAAACTATAAGATCAGATAGTGAGTTTGTTTAAAGTCCTTGAACGTAGAGTACGTATTGTTGTCAAATCGAAATTCGAAGGCAGTTACAATGTAGTTGTCAATGAAAGATTCAAATTGAAATTGAAAATACATATCTGTATTCAATTGCAGGTAGAACAGTCACGCTTGCGCGGTATCAGTTAACTGGTGTCGCCATCTCGGGATCGGCGTGGCAAAGTCACAGTAAAACGGCAGTGATGGCCGCCATCGTGAGGCCTTTAATTAGTGACAAGTGATTTGGAGGGGTGTTTTTCAAGTTCGGTGATAAGGGAATCGAATACGTTCAGCTGGGATCAACAGGACAGGCCCTGCTGGGCCTCGACAATCAGGTTGGTACAAGAATCTCTTTAAATTAAAAGCCGTGCACGGTGAAAATCAACAATGTGCACGAGTAACTTACACCCCTGTTCCCACGCACGTCTTTTTACATTCGCCTGGATGAACAATGTCATTGTTTTTTTTCGCGCTGTCATTCGCGACGCTATTGTCCAACGGGTCAATGGATGCTTGTTGGTACCAGCGATCTGAATTCGTTGATTGTAAACAGACGTTTCGAGTAGTATCCCGGAACATGCGTTCGCTCCAATTATGTCATTCGGTGTTTCACACGATAACGAGACCGGGATTTTTTACAGGCGGATCGGCCATATTGCTTTTTTTGTGGACGTTGATTAGAAGCTCCATCGAAAGGCATGCGAAACCGATTTTTTCACGAATGTTTACTCTATTTTGGGGTTAAGTCGGGTCTCCCACATAGCTGGACGTTGCTCCGTGCCATCGATAAGGTTCGATAGTCTCTTGGTTGCACCGCATGCTGTCAGATGACTCCACGTGCACCAATCGGACGATGTACCTGTTTATCCCTCGTGTACTGGTCGATATGATCCACAAGGGATCCACTTAATTTTCAGAAATTCTCTGTTATATAAACTTTTCACCCTCGGAGGGGGACACTTTTAACGATCGTGCAGACGGCGATGCCTCGGTCTATGTAGACCCTATACATTTAGGAAAATCACATGAATTCACATAAATATTCACAATCTATTTCCCATACACTGACTAAAGTTTAGGGATGAATTAGTCAAAAAACAAACTAAGAAAAACTGTTGATACACATGTTTGTTCTATCTGATCCTATTCCAGACTTATATACGTTTCTATACGTTCTTCCGAAACTTTCTTTACAAATTGAATTACCATAATTCATTTTATTCAGTCGTAGCAGCAGTGACCTCAATATTAATTGCATTACAAGCTACTGATACAAATACAATGCCCAGAATATCTCCGGTACAGAATTAAATAGGTATTTACATTATATTTCACCGAATTTATGTTCATGCATAATTAAATACCATTGCCGCCATCTTGAAAACACCGTTAAGGCATCAGTCTGGCAAGCGTACACTTTGAAATCGCAACAGTGCGGAGTTTTCTATACGGTTCTAATGTGTTCAGGTTAGCTTGAAAGCTTGTAGAGCAGCATTATTACAGTCGGGCGGATCATTGCAAAATTGGGCACTAACGTTATTCGGGCATAGAAACCAGTTTCATTTTGTGGCCGGTGCTCTAGGGTGAGTTACGGGCAATTTACTCCGGTTTCCTTGGACCGATACGTCTCGAACACCGTGCATAAACGCGTTCCCTCTGCATTAGCGAAGATTTTCTTTGATATTTACTGTCAAACTCGCCGGCCGAAAATGCCGAGCGATAAATACACTCGCGCAACCGCTCGGCTCGTAACCACGGTATTTTTGTTTCTCTGTGACGGGTGCCAGCCAACCGCTCATATTTATGATATACTTTTGTCTTGGCCAACGATGGCGGGAACAATCCCCCCGCGGTATCGTGAAACTTTCGAGTCGAACGGAAAATGGCGGGGTACCAGCCTAGATCGCAATCGATCGTTAACCGCCGGGCGATATTATTTTTAGACGAATTTTCGACCGAGCCCCCCCGTTGCTAGGGAATGTTAACCCGAGCTTCGAAACACGGAACTATTTAAATACGAAAGAATAGTGTTGCTTTCATCGAACCTGTACGGTTAGCGATTTATGGTGCTCTACTGGCAGTGGTTCTCAGTGTTTTAGAAACGGGTAGTGTATTCTTGGTCGTTGATATTTTTAAAAGAGTGATTCAGTGGGAAAAAAGTTCCTTTGAAAATGAAAGCTACACCCGGGGGACTATTACGATGTTCGGAGCTTGAGAATCGCTGCTTTAAAATATGAGCTCATTGTTCTGTTAGGTGGCATTGGATTTTGCTCAAGTCCCTGTACCGAGTATGATTCGAGTTTTTTCTAGATTTGAAATAGAACTGAACAAACTCTGATGCAGAACTTCAATCAGACCAAGTCAAACTCAGACCCCATTTCGACCTAATTCAGCACCATAGAACTTTTAGATTTGAGATGTAGAGAAACAGAGTTTCAGTGTATCGTTAGTTACAGATGATCATTCATCTTCTCATTACGATGGTCTGTGTTTTTCAAGTCCAAAATTGCTTGACCTACACATCAAACCATTTCTTTCCACGGCCCACATCCAAGTCCCGTTTGTAACTAGGCAAAAAGGGATTCCTTTTGTCCATCGCTAACACCTCTACCTCCAAGTCCACCCTCCAAGTTAACATAACGCGAGAAACAATGAAATCCATACCAGCCGGTGAGGTAATCGAAGATCAGAAAGAAAAAAAAACGAGAGCCACGTACCGCGATAAATCGTTCCCCGCTTAATTGGCCAGTTTTTTTCCCTCTCTCGGGTGCCTCGATGCTCGAATAGTTCGACGAAAGAAAGGAGGAAGAATTGACAGTGATCGATTCGCTGGAGCCGAGGGGGTGGGCAGATGGGTGGGGGTGGGGGGTTTCCGCGATAATTACAACCGTGTTTCTTGCCGTTGCTCGCCGAACGAATTCTGTCGACGGGGCCTTGCCAGTGCTCGCCCGTTGTTGCCCGATCCTCCCCGGTTTTCGGCAGCTCCAGTGCCGTTGGAATTTTCGGATTCCTCGTGAAAAACCGTGCGGAGCCGCGTCTCCCCGTTCGACAAAAACCAACACGCCCCTGAACTCGGCTTCGACACGTGCTCCGACGGGACCACACACGTGGCCCCGTGGGCCTCACGTTACCCCCCCCCCCCCCCCGGCGAGCTCCCCGAGACGGCGCATCCCCGTTCGTGGAATGGGCACAGTCCCCATTCGTTTCCATTTCGTTTGGTTTCTTGGTCGTTTATTTGCCCCACGGAGCCTCTGTTGGGACACGTCGATCGGATCTGACGTTGATCTTTGATGCGACTTCTGGGGTATATAAATGTATCTTGCGAATAGAATCGAAGAATGAGACACTTGAGTTTGTAGCGAAGTAGAGGAAAAGTGTCCAGTAATTGCAATGCAATTTTTTCGGACCGCAATCACCTGCGGTTAAGTGAAACCGCGAATATTGGATCTGCGAATACGGGGGTCCTACTGTAATCGAGAATAATAAGTTAATTTTTTCCACAAGTTACGTGTTTTTCTAGCGCGTACGAACATTCATTGTTTTACCTTTGTTCCTCGTGCCAGCTAACCGTTTCCCTCTCCCCCGAGAAAATATTGGCTGTTGCACGGCGGTTCGTTTTGCATTTCCTTGGGGATCTCTCTAGGAGAGGAGGCCAGCACCCACAAGAGATCTTCGACCAGATAGGTGCACCGATCTGTGTAACGTACGTTTGCGCACCGAGTCGAACTGATTTATTCATGGCCCTGCCCACGCGGTCGCGTTCGCACCTGCGCTAGTGTCTTCCTGTCAACGATTAAATCTACGCCTGCTGCTGCTGGTGTGTGTGTATGTTTGTTTGATTTCCTGAATCGCATTGCTCCTTGCGCCTGTTTGCCTATAGCCGCCGCGCCGGTGCTTCTGGAAATCGGTACTTAACCACCACCTACTATGTTCTGCACTCGTTCCTAAATACGCGTATAAATTTTATGGGCTTCTGTGATTGCGTTTAACATCGTCGACGAATAATATCCCGATAATATTCACTTTACCATAACTATCACCATTATGTTTTTAGAGGTCCTGACAATCCCTTATTTCAGGTTTCATTAATGTTTTATGCCGAATAAAAATACAATTGCCTATAGAAGACCATGGATCGTGTTACAGTTCAATTTGACGATTAACATTATTTTAGTTATACTTTCAACCATAGGCGTAGCTAGGTTATCAGTCAGGTGGGGCAAACATAAGCAATCTTAAGGTAAATTTCATGATACAGCAAAGGCTCCATGAGAATTTGAATCTTTGGACCACTTCGAAACTTTCACGGGTGGGGGCAATAAATTATGTGTTTGACAGGTTCCACGGTCTCCCCAGTGGGTGGAAATGAAGTAGAAACTCTTACGAGGAACTTCCTATCCAACTCTCATAGAACCTTTACTGTATTATGTTTCTCTTCTAGGGGGTAGGCAAATTCCAATTTTGTTTCTCTCTAGGGTAAGGCGAAGGCCACTTTTTTCCCTCAGAGGGGGTAAGTGCCCCTATGTCCTCTAACAGAGATAACTTACCCTACTCACTATCCTCTATTATCAATATCTTTCTCTACAACCTTGGATTTTCTGTTGCAAGAACACGAACGTACAATTTCTTCCATTGCATTTTCCTCTCTCTCGTAAGTCATACGGTTTTTAACCCGAAGAACGAATCAAAACAATTCAAATGTAAATCCATCGAATCGTCCCTTCGAAACGCTTAAGGAAACAGGGTGCAGGATGCACACATCGAACAGCCTCGTTATCCAAAGGTTTACGCCTTTAAGAATACAATGTCTCCGTGTGATTGGCGTGGACCGTGTAACATCCCGATTGGGCTCTTTGTTAATTAGTCCGGATTCACGGTGGAACAAGGAAACCTTGAGGCGTACAAATCGTTGTAGTGTTTGGCGGCTTGGCAAGCAGCGGCGCCGCACGAAAAACAGTCCGCTTAGACACGCCGGGAGGAGAGGAACGATGTTGACCCGCGGTGGCGGTGAGATGAGAATTGTTTCTAAAACGGCGCGGCGAAGGGGTGGCCCCGCCGTAATATTTAGGTCGAACCAGACACCGGTCGGACGAGCGGATTATTTTGTTTTTGTTATTCCACTTAAACGTTATGGTGACAAATCTTGTCCGTCGGTCCAGTAACGACTGCCGCTTATTATTTCCACGTAGCGGCTGCTTGTTGGTCGGTTCGTGCCTCGCGGATGAATAATCGTCTATCCTTGGCTTCCTCGTAATTACCAACCCGGTACGCGTACCGCGGGGCTGATAGTAATCGGTGGGAATGAAATTCAGAGAACGTTCCGCTTGATCGACAT